CTGAGTCGAAGTCCTTCTCCACTTCGGCTCAGCCCAACACGCAGAACATGTTCGGCTGACCGAAAGCAACCGACGTAGGCTGATTTCAGCCGATGTACAGCTGAAATCAGCCGTACTGAGCTGGAGTGTATAGCCGAACGTCGTTCGGCTCACTTCACTTCGGCTGGGTTATTCACTCGGCTGCCTTCGGTAGCTTTGTGAACAAGCCTTTAGGTGGTAGAAAATCTACAAAGGAGGCACTAATACAAAATCGGTAGGAGTCTTAGCCTTCCCCATCTCTACTAAAAAGAGTGTTTTCAATGGGACAGAAAATGGCAGAAAGAGAGAGAGTGTTCTAATACTTCTTTACTTTTCCTGGAGATACTCTCTTCTGAGATAGTGTTAACAGTTCACTAATAATTGACTCTATACTACTCCAATAAATAATTTTATAAATATTCACTACATACAAATGAGCAGGAAAAATATACTGCAGTATGAGATCTAAGACTGTGCCTCTGACTGCTAGTCTCAGAAGATTTAGAGTGATATTTGGTAATGTTTGTTTTTTTATTTTTTGTCGCTTAAAATGGTCTTACAGGTGCGTTCCATGCCTTTGTTTAATGCGTTTTGATGCATTCCAGAAAAAAAAGGACAAGCAATATTTTTCTGGTCTGGTCTGGAACGGACTGCGCTGGTGCGAACAGAGGCCAGAAATAGCATAGAGATACATTGGGATGCATTTTGGGTCCGGAAACAGTCTGGTCTGGAAATGATCTGGGTGTGGTGTGAATGGGCCCTGAAGAAGCAAAGCTTCTACCAAGATAGATACACAGTGCAGAACAAGGCATTGTAAGTCAATTATGGGGAATGATCAGCTGCAAGGAGTCCACATGCAATACGAATGTCTAGTCCTTTGTCCTCTGCCTACCTTTTTTTTTTATTATTAAAGCTTCCAGACTTATTTTTGCACAGATTAAACAGTTATAACAGACATGACAATAAATTCCTAGAGCAGAACGAGTTCTCTAAAGAGAGCACTGCAATAGTTACCCTCTTTCAGGCAGCATTGGGAAATTAATAAAAAGTATCTTAGACAAACTTTGTCTCAACTGGTGTGCATACAATCAGTTTTAAATTTTAATTGTCTATACTGTGTGAAAAGAATAATAACATAAGTCAATTGGTTGCTATGGACAACCACACGAGTTGAGACAGAACTAACCTCAGACAATTAATCCCTCGTGTCTCTAAGGAAAACTTGAGAACTGTATTGACAGAAGGTGAATGAGAGGCAGGAGTCGCTTCTCTGGCTCATCCACGTGTGTGTAAATTTCACCTTGAGCTATTGAGCTTCATAAACAGACTTTTTACAACAAAAAAAGAAGAAAATGGAAAATAGTGCGAATGATCTTAAAGCTCCACTTGCTGTCTGGAAAGAAAAATACACAATAATAATATGCATAATCTCATGTTTACTCAACCATGAAAACATATTGTATTTGTGCTTATTTTTTACACAAGCTATAAAGTTTAGATGCTGGGATACCTTTTAAACACTTGTCGTAACTTACATCATTTTTTAAACTACGGGAACCCTACTGAAGCATGCTTTATTTATCCTAATTAGCATTACAATATAGTCTGCTTGATTTTTCTCACACACAGCATCAACTCTCAGTGCTTACATTCATTGCATGAACAAGTGCTGCTGTCCTGTACTACTGCTAGTTTAGCTGTTTCACAGTATGCAATGTGTGCCAAAGGTCATCAACTCATGAATACAAGGACAAATGCCAGTTACATTCAGCTCAATAGATTTTTTTTTTCTAACAAATTCCTAACTCTGCATAAACAAAAATCAAGTTTTTAGTTCAAATTCAGGACATTCTTAACTCTCAAAAGATTCCAGTATATGAGGGAGCTCAGCATTGTGTGGGATTGAATGCAAATTTGGAAAAAAGGGCCATAAACTCTACAAGTTTGTATAACTGCTCCCTTGTTTACATTGCATTTTAGGATTGCTGTCCAGTTAATATTTGTCAATTTTTTTTAAGGAAACATTATGAATACTGGTTTAAAAAATCTTGACCATAGTGTTTAGGTTTTGGGCTGTGATTATGTGTTCTGAATAATGCCTGTTATTAAGTGGTACAGGTTTTATATTCGAATGTCTTCTACATAATAAATTAACTTGGCTCTCAGATTTTCATCTAAATTTGTAGCATGGTCCCTTCTGCATACTTGTAACACTACAAATTCAAACAGTGCAGGCAGCGCTTGACTTATAAATGTACATAAATCACAAACAGTGTTCAAAATCAATCTTAAATAATAAAAAACATACATAAAATCATAAAATTGCATATACAAATGTGCTCCAAAATTACTGCAGATAGTCCAATAAACAGAAAAGTCCAAATGGCCACAAAAATGTGGAATTTGTTGAACTTTTAATGATTCTTCAATCTGCACTCTGTGTGACACTGTACCGGGGGCGACCCTCCACCTATGAAGGGTCCTATGCTGTGCAAAGTGACACAGAGTGGAGTATTCTTCATATTCACACTTAATCAACAATGAATCAGGCACTACTTACATTTCTACGTATCACACAACTTTTTTCAATGTTCCTCTGCACATATATGATTTTGTATGCAGATATTTGTAAAAATTGGTATAATGCAAATGCTGCAAGTGACATTATTGCGGGGCTTAGAGTGCAGTAGTATCATGTGATCATGTGGCAGACATGCTGAGGTCTGCCTGGAACTCCCAAACAGACCAAATTATTGATGGGGAATCATTTCAAATATTTTAAATCTGCCTAAGATTTAGTAAAGCCTTAGAAGATAGTGTTGGAAGACTCCAACAAGTATTGAGTAACAGGATTCAGTAATGATTTTGCAAATCAATGAATCCCAACCATTATTAGCAAACCTATCTTCTCTAAGGGCAGCCTAACCTGCCATTAATGGAGGTGGAAAGGTTAATGAGTCTTACTACTCCTTAGCAAGGCTTGTTTGACAAAACCAGCACAGACAGCATGGAAATATGCCATACACCTACATACAGCCAATTAAGCAATCTGTTACGATCACTCTAACCTTTGTGGATGTTTTCAGAATAAAGGTTCAGTTCTAAATGTCTTTAGAATTTCGTATAGTTTGTTAAGTGGCAATCATTGCACGGTACAAAAAAAAAAGAGAAATGAGTAATTCCCATAGTCTAATTATCTCAGAATTCTTTCAATACAGCACTAAGTGCCTGGGTTTGATTTTCCTTTAGGGTCATTATCTGGTGGTTATAGTGTGTTGCCCTTGTGTTTGCATCGGTTTCATCATGTAGATTCAGGTTCCTTCCACAGTCCAAAAATATACTACCAGTTCGGTGGACTCCCAACCAAGCTGGCCCTACTGTGAATGCAGGTGTATGACTGCTGTGAATGGTACAGTGCTCTCTGTAAAGGTCTGGGAATATATCTACACAATATACTATATTCCAGGGGAGCTACCCTTGAGAGGTGGTGATCTACCTGAACAACATGAAAGAGATCACAGATCACCGAGGCGCTGCAGCCTTTTTTTTTTAAGGAGATAACCTAGTAAGGTTCTAATAAAAATTAAAGGTAATAGAGTAAGTAGAGTTTAACCAGCAATCACCTCACCTGACTCGGGCCACTTATCACCCCCTTCCCACAAGTGACAACCCTAAAACAACTCACTTCCCGACATCTACAGTCGTGTGAAAAAGAAAGTAGACCCTCTTTGAATTTTATGGTTTCAAGTATCAGAACATATTAAAAATCATCTGGTCATTAGCAGGTCTTAAAATGAGGTAAATACAACCTCAGATGTACAACAACAAATTACATATTACACCGTGTCATTACTTATTTTACAAACATAAAGCCAAAATGGAGAAGTTATGAGTGAAAAACTAAGTACTAAGAAGTTTCTCACGTCGTTGTAAAGGAATTTTGGCCCACTAAGCAATGTTGCTTGAGTTGATTGAGGGTTGCGGGCATTTGTTTATGGCCAACTCTCTTAAGCATTTCATTCGGGTTGAAGTCTGGACTTTGCAACAGCGTAATTATTTTCTTATTCAGCCATTATGTTGTAGATTTGCTTGAGATCATTGTCCTGTTGCATGATCCGATTTAAACCAAGCATTAGCTGTTGGACAGATGGCTTCACATTTGACTCTAGAATACTTTGGTATACAGAGGAAGTTATGGTTGACTCAATGAATGCCAGGTGTCCAGGTCCTGTGGCTGCAAAACAAGCTCAAATCATAATTCCTCCACCTCTGCACTCCTCCGCAACACAGCTCACCCACAAAGCAACCATTAAAGTGGCAGGAACTTTCTTGTTTCCCTCCCTTTCCCCAATCCCATCATTCTTCCTGGGGAAGAAGAGAGCAGTCTGTGCCTTCTCCTTGCTCTCTTCTGCTCCCCAACATTGGCTTACCACTTTGGCTGCTATCTGACTGGAGTAATGACTGTTACGACCTACCTGTAAAATGGCCACAATTGATTGGTGGATCGCAATTGATCTGTTGCTGATCCCTGCTATAAATGTTTAAAGCATGGTCTCATTAACATATTTTACACTAATAGTCCCTCTAGTGGAGAATATTAGTAAAGGCTTCAATTACAATAAAACAAGCAGTGGGGCTTTAGTCTTTTAGCAAATGTTCTCTCTTTTTTAGATTAAATGTAAATTGTATATATTTACCTATGTATTTTAATAACTCTTGACAAGCTTTAGATCTTTGAAATTGTTTTAAATTCCATGTGTATTATATATATAGAATAGGAAAAAAAATATGCTCTATACATTTGTCGTTGACAGAGTAAATAACCTCTCTTTATAAAAGAGATAGTTTAAATTTGTGCCCCGTCCACTTCCTTAATGCAAATGTTATTTTGTACTATATTCTAAAAAAACAAAAACACATTTTACATTATATTATGTATCTTTATTTGATACAAACACACAAACTATAATTTTCTTTTACAGCTTATTCTTTCAACATGGGAAGGAGGCTACAACATACAATGCCAAAACTTAGACAGTTCTGGAGAAGCAGATGTGCGGGTAAGACATGACCTGGGCCACAGCAGGATGAAAAGCCTAGTTCTAGTTAGCACGTTTACCTAATAGCGTACAACACATAGAAGAAAACTAGTTCTTATCTGATAACTTCTTTGTTAGGAATGTTCCAGAACAGCACTGAATAGATGGTTTCCTTTACCTATAACAAGAGAGACAAGCTACAAAGAGGTGACATTTTTTACCAAATGATATCACCTCAGTAGGAATCAAAGTTACAAAAAAGTGATAGAGTATGTGCTGCCCTGAAAGATTCCTGAAACGGTAGGTATCATTTAAGAACACTCGTTTTTACCAGTCATCCTCCAGAACAGTTCTGGTTTGGAAATAAAATCTTGCCGTGGTGGGAAAACCTATTGGAGAACTTTACAACTGAAGGCCTGATATTGGTAAAATAGGAAGTTCATCCTGGAATTTCTGAAAACCTCATGAAACATGCCGAAAATCTTAGATCAAATAAAACACTTCAAGGGGCTACTACTCCATAAAACACTCTGAGGCAAATAACAAACATTTCAAACTATGTTCTTCCCAGGGCTATTGTCCACTATATACTGAGAGTGCCGCAGCCGGGACGGATCCTGACAATACTGTCGAGATCCACCTAGCTGGCTGATTGACAGCGGGCTCTGCCTATCCAGAGACAGAGCCCGATGTGCCCACCCCATCCCCCGTCTGTTCCTCCAGTCAGCACTGGAGGATCGGAGAGGGGAGGGGAGGAATCCCTGTGGGAAGCGGTGACTGACAGTCACCGCTCTCTGCAGGGAGATGATTGGGAAGTGAGAGAGTGACGGTATGTGCTAGGTGAGTGGAAATCACTCATGTCATAGTTCTCCTTTAAGGCAGCCCATTCAGATGAAAGGTCTGGTAGCACACCGAAACTTCCCAAAAAATGGACAAACAGCATGTTTGGCATCACAACACATCTCAATGCTTTATAGTTTCTTACATTGCCTTATGGTGCATTGCAATACGTGCGTTGGAGCTGTGTTGCCTTAGTGTGTTGGGGTGCCATTCAAAATAAGTGTCACCACAACCTGCTAACGCATGATGCATACGTTAATGTGCATTTGCTGTAATGAAACACAGCATAATAACTGGTTAACTCTCACAGAACGAGTGTACATGCAGTTTTTCTGGACGGAAAACTGCCCG